CGTGGAGGAAAAACCAAGGAAAACAAAACTGAAAGAAAAATAAAAAAATGTCATCTTTTTTATTATGGTTGTTGTTAGAAATGAAATGAGTTGCTGTTACAGTTGTTTGCTCCATTATTAAGTATGACACAACCACCAACAACAGCAAACAACAGTGACAAGAACCACTACAAAATCCAAGTCAATCTGTCAGACTCCAACGCAGCTGGAGCTGAAGAGGCAGACTTTAACAGCTGTCCAGCTAGCCAACAGGCTAGTCGGCCTCTTTTGGTGGCGATGGTGGCTCTGGGCCACTCTACTACTTAGCTGCCCTGCGTGCACCACTCGATGGCATTTTTTTTTTTTTTGTTGCTCTTAGTATTTTTTTGTATGATATTTTTGCAATGTTTTGTTTATTGTTGTCGGTGGCATACACACATAATTGTTGCTGCTGCTGTTGTTGTCGTTGCTTTTATGTAACATTTGTTGAATTCTGCGCTGGGGCAGGCATTTCACTTGGGTGGCTGCAGTCGTCCATTACGAGCAGTGTCCAAAAATGAAATGATTGCAAATACTTGGCCAACAACAACAAGGGAGACAGGCAGGTAGGCTCAAGTGGGGCAGCTGCAGCCAGTGGTTTTTTGTTGTTGCTGTGCCTTTTTAGGGTTTAAAAGCAAGAGAAAATTGTTACTTTCGTTTCATTTCACATCACTCTTTTTGCACTAGCTGTCTGTGTTGCACGGGGCGGTAATCAGTGTTTCAAATGGAATCCGACTAGCAGTTGGGCCAAGTGCAATCACTTTTTGTTTTAGCCCCACTTATTCATATTGTATAAGTAATAACCACACACACCACTTAGCAACTGGGAAGCCGAGGCTTACATTTGGATTTTTGCATTTTAGTTTGAATTTGGCAATTCAACCGTAGCCCGACTCTTGCCACACAATGTGGGCGCACAGTGGTCCAAAAGACATTCACACACACACACACACACGCACTTCTCTTTTGGTCTTTGCACATTGTTTTGAGTACACATGCTCTCAAACTCATTATCCCGCTTTGAGCCACTAATTTACCACTTACGAATCTTAAAATTTGTTACCTTAAGTCTTTGAGTTCCGCCCTGCCGTTTTCAACACTATTTAACTTTGAATTTCACTATTAATATTTTTAATATTGTTTTCAAAATAGTTAGACCTAATAATACCCCTGCAAATGATATTCCCATTTTGCTTACCAATATATCCGGACCAATCTCCCTTGCTAGAGTCTTAATATGCTTCTAACATTTTTACAAAAATTCATCAAGATGGGATTATTTTATCATATAGTTTTCATATCTACAATCGATCCGTTTTATTTTATTTTTTATAGTCAAACGAAACATTACAATTCTGTCTGTTTTTGACAGGAGAATCGCATGGAGCTACTTTCGTTAATTATATAATCATTCAATAGCCAGCAAAGATGCAACGATGCTCTTCGTCAGTCTTCTTCCTCTTGGTCGAGTAGCAAACTTTCAAAGATTTTATTGTATTTTATTTGGCGCATACTGGAAGAGCTGCTAAATTGTGAAGTGGTGCCAAGGATAACCTGATTGATGTTCTTTTTGTTATTTTTGGATACCATTTTGAATGTTTTTTAAACTTATTTTAGGTACATGTATTTGCATAGATACAACTTAAGTCTATTCTGGTTTAAATAGCTGAATGAGCACTTCTTGACTTACATACTGTTCTCCCCTCCTTATTCACAAATTGCTCAGTTCCCTGTAAAACTGGAACAGATTGCTAGACCCATTTTCCTTGAATTTGGCTCGTGGCAATGGAGCATGGACAGGGTTAGGGGCAGGGGCAGAGGCAGGGGCAGCAACAGCTGCAGCGGCAGGCAGAGCTGCAGGGCAGCTGCTGCACATGCAGTCAGTTCAAGATAAAGAAAAATAAGAATCAGAGGCAGAAGCAGAAGCAGGGGAACTGTGTCTGGGAGCAACTCCAATGGGAGTTGGGAGTTGGTAGCTGTTAGGCAGCGACTCAGAACATTAATCTTGAGACTTTGCTGGAAATTAAAAATAATAAAGCACTAAATAGAAAATGAAGCGAACCACAGGGAACGGGAACGGGAACGGGAACGTGGACTGACTGGCTGGCTCTGTGGAACTGGAACTGCCAGTGGGTCTCTGGAGTTGCGACTGGACTGGACTGGTAAATGAATGGGATGGGTAGCGGCCTGAAAGCGAGGCAAACACTTAATTGAGCATCGTGAACACAAATGCAGCAATTCGTTGTGCTTGGCCGGCTGCGGCAAATAGCCGAAGAGAAGCGGCATTGTTGGGCATGAGGATGATGGGGGGATGGGGGATTAGTTAGTTTGGCTTAGTCTAAAATTCTTTGGCTTGAAAGATGTTGCGTGCGCTCCAGTCGATTTCCTGGCTTGGCTCAACTCGGTGGGCGTCAGTTGCTGCGCACGTGCCAATGCATCCACCGACCACCGACTCGCCACTCGACCACTGACCACCGATCACCAAGCGTAACAATTGGGCGGTGGCACCACAATCCAGCACCAGCTCTAGGGTCCAGCACCAGCAGCACCACCAGCACCAGTAAGTACCGTCTCTTCGGAGGCCCCATGCCGAAAGCTGTTTCCTCATTGTCTAATTAAATGTTTCTGCAGTCATAGGCACACACAATTTGATTAGTTAACTGTTAACTGCGCACTTGCCGAGCTTAACCTCAAAGAATGAACGCCTGCTGACAGGTGGCGCCACACGTCCAATGCAGCGAGCTGGGGCAGCATGAAAAGAATTAGTGTTTTATTCTAAGTCAATATTGTTAACGTAATTCTCAGATGCAGTTGGCCTCACCTAATAATCAAATAAATAAATGATGATTCGCACAATTTACTGGAGTTTGGTAGAGTCTTGCTAACCTTGCTGAGATAATCGAACGAGGTTAGGAATTAATGGAATCGAAGTTTTTTTTTTAAAATATAACCTTTAACTCTGAAATGGGGCAGCAGCAGTTGCACCCAATTCTATTGGCAGCTGGACAACTTGATGAGTAAATGCTGGCTACACAGCAATGTTGCAATCAACGTTGTTGCTGCTGCTGCTGCTGCTACTGCTGATGCTGTTATTGTGGCTGTTGTCATCACTTGCGGCAACATTTTCATTGTTTTTGTCGCTGCAGCAGCAGCAGTTTAAAGTGGGTTAAAAGCACAAACAGCGTTCGCAAATGTGATGACAATTCGCCAAAGCAATGCTCTAAAGAAAGAAGTGAGTAAACCACATCCAGCAACAACAGCAACAACAACATTGGCAACAAAGTCATTAACTTGACTCAAATGACTGTAACCGAATGATCATTCGAGATGATGACAATGATCATTATGCCTGCTGTTGTTAGAACAAATCCAGAACAGTACTAAGACAGCCCATAAGAAAAACAACTTTTGCACAATAACTCAATCAACTGACAGATGATATCCATGTGGAATTATTTAGAGCTTGGCAAATGGAACAGGTAGGGTATTGGAAAGGGAATCTAATGTCTTACATACATACACACAAAGTTAGAGCATTGATTTTTAAGGTTAGAGCTTACAAATGAACTTCGAGGGAATATCAAGTTATATAATACACAGTGTTAGATTTACAGTTATAGTTTTGTAACGCTTGCAAGTCTACAAGATTAATAATTCCAAAAATGAACACTAATTTAAAAGTAACTCTATGTTGTTTTTTGAATTCCCTAGATTGGCAACATGATCAACTCGATTTGAGTGCTCGCTTTGCAGCGTTTTAGCCTTAAAAGGCACGCGGCCAAAAAGAAGAAGAACAACAACAATAACAACAACAAAATAGTAGCCAAATTATTTTTGTATGGCTTGCCTGACATTCAGCATTCAACTCAACTTGTCGGCGGGATGGTCTAGACTCAAGACTCTAGACTCGAGTCGAGCAGAGTTGCTTCTGCTGCCCATATTTGGGTAATGCGAATCACAGATGTCTCCGCCGCTGATGTTGTTAGCATATTCTTTTGGGTGCACTTTTTGCATTTTGCCCCACATGTGTCACACAAATTGTGCGTTGGCCAAAGTAAGTCAAAAAAAAAAAATTGTGGTAGTGGCTGTTCCACTGCTCCAATTTGCTGACCATTTGGCATACTTAAAGCTGAGCTGAGTTGCGCTGCTGTTGTTCTTTTTGTTGTTGTTGTTTTTGTGCTGTGGCATGCAAATGCTTGTGCAACGGCATCGATCGCTTTGTGGCAATGAATGTCCAAGCAGCAAGTCCAAGTTGCCACAAAGAATTACTTGTGCTGTGTCTGCAATTTGGTGCAAGCAGCACAATTGCCACAGTTGCATAACCTGTATTAGTTGTTATTACCGTTTTGTAGCATCCACACACACATAGCCAGCCAGCAAGCAAGCGATCGAGTGCCAACCAACTTTCTTGCCAGACCAAATCGAACCGGCCAACGGATTTGCCATTGATCAATAGACCAAACGCATCGAAAGCCCTCAGCTCCAGCTCCAGCTTCACCTCCAGAGAGCTTTGGCACTTGCCGAAAGCGCAGCAAGTGACAGCAGCAGCAGCAACAGCAGCAGCAGCATAACGCATGCAGTCGCTGCCAGCGTTGACGTAGCGACTTAAGGCTTACAGCTTACAAGACGCACAACGCGTCGGCGCAAACTTTCAGTTGCTTTCGAGCTGCACAAGACGACGGTTGGTTTGCTTTGTAATCCATACACAAGCACACACACACACAGCGGCCACAGCTGCCGCAGAGAGAGCGCAAGGCGTTGAGAGAGAACTGGAGAGCGCGTGCGCGACTGCAAATCGAGTACGTGGAAAGTGAAAGAAAACGTCTCCTGAGCTTCGGGTTTATTTTTCTGTTTTTTTTTTTTTGGTGCGCATGCGTCGTCGGTTCGTTAAGTCGTGTTTCGTGAGAGTCGCAACGTCGCTTTAAGCTCGACTTAGCGAGCAGAAACGAATTCAGTTGCCGTGCTGAACGCAAAGCGAACGGAACTGTGCGCATCGTGGCGCGCTTAACGATTACTTTTGTTTTTGTTTTCCATTACTTTTCGAACTCTGCTCAACACTTAACGTCTAGCGGTCGTAACTGGCCTAACGGTACGCGTCTAGTGCTCGAGAAATTGCGCGCATCTATTGTCTGCTTCTAGCGTATTCTATTCTTAAATTTTTTTATTATTTTTTTATTTTTTTTTGTGGCTTGTGTGTGTGTGTGTGAAGGATAAACAAGTTGCTGTCTCGACTGACACACTTTCCGGCGCACCTGTTGCAAATCTCGAAAATATTTGTACTGATTTTTGGATTTTGATTCGATTTCTTGCAGTTATTGTTGTTGTTGGCGCATGTTAAAAATTGGCCACACTAAACGAAAAACAGTCATAACTTTTGCTCATGAAAATCGTGTTAGCAAAGTCAAAGGAAAACAAACAACACAAATATAAAGAAGAGCAAAGAAAAAGCTGGCAAAAATTGTAGTGTGACAACAAATTGCGAATTCTTAGAAAAAATAACAACAAAACAACCAACAAAAAAATAAAATAGAAATAATAATTAACAAAAAAGAGGAGACAAGTTGAAAAATCTACAAACGCAACGAAGTGAGCGACAAAATGCAACGCACGCAGTCGCCGCTGCTGCGGCTGAAACTGCTGCCGCTGCTGCTGCTGCTGTTGGTGGCATCGTCACAGTCACAGACTCAGACGCAGGCGCAGAATATAGGTGAGTGTGTCAAGCGAAAGACGAAAACACGAAAAGATGATGAAAAGATGAGAAGACGTTAAGTCCAAAACAGAAAAGCAAACAAATTTTCTCTCGGTTCTGGTGCTGCTACTGCCCTTGCTTAATTTTTACTCATCACCCATTTTTCAGTTTATTTATATAATATATATATATATTTTTTTTTGGTCGGGGAGGGCGCACCTTTAAATTTTTTGCATACACTTTTGTCGCTGGCTTTTAATTTCCGGTTCTCTTTTGAAACAAAGCGACTGCGAGGCTTGTGCACTTTTTCCCACGTTCATAAAGCAGCAAAAACAACAACAACTACAAAAAATCAGCTAATGTCCAGCTTCAAGTCAAGTGCCGGCAACAGCTTGCTGTTGTTGTTGCTGTTGCTGTTGTTGTAGCTGTGGTTCGCTCACTCGCTTTAAATCGGTCAGCTTTTGTGCTCGTTAATTGTTTCGTGGGATACGCGCGACAAATGGAAACGAAGAAACTGACCAAAGACACGACTCATATGCATATTGCAAGTACAGTAAGCACTCGTTTATTACTCTACTGTTGTTATTCTATTTACATTTCCTTAAAATATTTCGTTATCTTCCTTCCTTAAATGTTCAGGTGTATTTATGCTAAAATAGTATATCAAATTGGAAATTGGAACTTTCGCATAATTTATCTCGATACAATTCGAACATCGAATCAATTTCTTATAGTGTATTTATGCGTCTTCTGATCACCTGATCACACAGCTATAAAATTTAATTTTCTCAGTTCAAAACTACTCTCCGATTTGTGTGCATCGAAACTTATTTTTCAATAATCTCTTATCTTAAAAGAGTCTTCTTATATTATTTATATTTCGTAAACTTCAATTATATTATTTCATTTTCTTAAATTTACCCCAAATTGTTCGCTTTAACGGGCGTGCACTGTGCTGGGTCGGGTTCAGTTGGTGGGCGTGTCTGCCAGTGTTGACCGCAGGAAACGGATGTTTGTTTGGGTCAGCAAGCAGATAGAGCAGCAACAACAAAGACAACTAAAGTGAATGCCAAATGTGTCACAAGAAACAAAAGACTTAGGCAACAAACTTGCTGCTGACGCCGATGCTGTTACTCTTGTTGTTGCTGCTGCTGCTGCTGTTGTTGCCGCTGCCGCTGCTGCACGTGACAGCGTCACCTGTTTTGGAAGAGGCAAGCAAGCACAACCTGTTGTGCCGTTCTTGTCTCCAATTACCAAACCATGTTTGCTGCACGTGGCAACAGATTGGGTTACAGTTATGCACAAGCAGGTGTCTCACCATGGGGGGAGGGGAGGTGTATTCCCAACAACGACGCCTTGAACTTGAGAACAGAAGAGAACAGCTTAGAAAAAAACCAGCCACTTTTATTGTTACTAGAAATGTTCTTTGTATTGTTGTGGCCAGTTACGACTCCATTAAAAGAGGCTCAATAACTTAAGAGCATGTAAACGGAATACCCAAGTTGAGAATAATGGAATACCGTCCATCAATCTTCAATCTGTTGTCTCGATACGCTCTTATCACTGAAAAATGATAAAGTCATTCTTGCAAACCGTTAGAGCTAAGAACCACAAAAAGAAGTTAAGTCCACATACAAAATAAAACTGTGGGAATCGCGTTGAAAAGAAATTAATTGAAATTACAAATCAAAAACAACAGACGGAAAAACTGAGAAACTAACGAAAAATGTTGTTAAGAGCAAAAGAAAAGGGCGATAATAATAACAATAGCAACAACAAGAAATTGTCTAAGAAATTAAAATAAAATTTACGAGCAGCTAAAAATTTCACAAACAAAAAAGTGTTGCCAGGTTTTTTTTCAACTTTTTGCCTCGACCAAATGGGAAAGTTTTTTTTAATATACATATATATATATATATATATATATATATATATATATTTATATATGTATTTATTTATTTGTCTACACAATTGTATTTTCATAGTGTTGACAATAAGAAAAGTAAAAGTGCAATGTAAACAGCCCGACAGAGATGGACAGAGGGAAGGATGGGAGGGAGAAGGCAAGCTAACAACGCTCGCTAAAAATTGCTAGCAACGTGTGGCAAGTCTCTCAGGCACAGCTCATCAGAGGGCATTACTTACGTTGTAATACCCCACCCATATTAGATGATGATGATGACTTGTTACTCATACGTATAGCTTTATCTTATGTTTTATGTATATATAATGACCGCTGACTAGCTGGTTGAGGGCACTGTAATGTCATGATATACCTGTATGAGATGTATGAGATGGTATACCACATATCGTCATTATCGTTATAATAATGATCATCGCATCAAGCTAATGACTCTCATTGCATTGCGGAAGCTCAGCGTTTAATTGCAATGCGAAAAAAAATCAAGCATAACTATTCGCAAGATGCTCACATCTAACAGATACAACAGATACATAACTCACAAGGCTGTTGTTGTCGATGGCTCGACTCGGCTCATTTGTGCAACCACAGTGCGCCACACAATGCGGCATTTTGTTTGAGGCGTGGCACATTGTGCGCGCATGCGTGCAAGCATCAGCGCTTTTTTATTTCATTTTTTTGTCTTAGCTTTAGTGTTTTCGTTTCTGCGGTTTGGATAAATCCCGAAACGAGGCGGTGGCTGCCTGTCTGCCTGGCTGCCCTTACATAATAGATAAACAAACTGGCACAACAAGGAAGTTGTGTCCACAGTTGAGGAAGCCAGACAGCCAGAAAGCTAGTCAGCTAGTTGTGGGGCTGTGGGCGACTATAACGCACTTTAGCGGACAGCAACAGCAGCAGGGGACTTTTACTTGTGACAACAACCTCAAAACTGTGATTAAGTATCCTTTCCCAATGAATGCTGTCATCATCACTCAAACGTAGATAGTTTTTTTGCATAACTTTAGTGTTATGTGTTATGCAATTATCTTCAAGTTTGCAGAATAGTTTGTGAACACTCAGTATCAGATTAGCTTTTCATCAAAAAGAATATCTTAAGCATTTTAAAGGTTAGTATTAGTGAGGAAAACATAGTCTTCCGACATCCAACTAAAATATTGCATTTCCATTTTAATTTTATTGCCCTCTTACTCTGGCTGAGTTTAATTGACACTTAATTTGCTGGAAATCGGCTTCGCTTATTAAAAGAGTGACCACACACTGAAATTTTAATGAAAACAAAAATGGCTTGCAGCTTAAAGTTGATCTGTTCAAAACATATTTACATACCAAATTTCATAGCCTCAAGTCTTACAGTCTCTGCGTTCCAAGCGCACTTTTCACAACGTTTTAATGATTTTGTTTTTGTCGTTGCGACAATCATAGCGATAAGCTCAGACTTTAATGCTTTTGATTTGTGTTTTCTTTGATAATGATCGCCAGTTAGGAGTGTGACAATTGCCGGGCCAAAAGTCACAGTATAGGCCAAAACTTTGGGCAATTGTCGCGCATTTGTGTCACAAAACGACAAACGAAATAATGCCCCTCAATATGTTTGGCCTCACAACTTTGCGCAACTTTTCGAGTTCATTTTATTTTATTTTGTTGGATTTCGAATAAATTTTAGGTGCAATCTTTAACAAGTGATGCCGCCTTGACACGTAGCAATGTGTGTGTGAGGGGGAGTGGATAATGAGGCAAGTGTGGAATGGAAATGGAAGTGAGACACTAAATAACTGAGCAACTTGCGCAAGCTGACAAATGGCCTTGCCAGACACTCCACAGAAAGTCAATTATTTAGCTGACACTTTGTGTTGGCGTTCAAGTCAAAGATTAACACATCGTCAGAAGAAGAAGAGACAGAAAGGGAGATAGTGAGATACGGGCATATAAATAGCTTAGATAAGCTTAGAGATTGCGCCATGCGATGGAGTAGATTACCGAAACAAGCTTGAAACAGAAAGCTTGAAATTCAGCTTGAAATAATTTCAAAATATTTCAAATGATTCAGAAACTAAAAGTAACGAAGGATTAGCGCTTTGACATTAAGAAAAAAGACCTATAAAATTCGATCATTCAAAGTAGAAGTTTAGTTCATGGGGAAGATTAATGATCAAAGATCTTAGATCAACTAAAACTATTTCTCAAGCAAACCGCAACACAATAAAGACTGCAACACTTGCATTGAGCTGAAATATCCAAAGAGCAGGCACAATCAGTCCGTTAACCCAAAAAAAAACAAAAGAAATCTTTTATATATGATCAAATAAATGAAAATTCGATCACTTACACAAAAGGTTGTATTGAGGTGGCAGTTCGAAAGACCAGCAACGATTAATCAATATTTTGAACTGAAAACGATGAAATTAAAATGAATTTCAAGTTGATAATAAGTGTGAAAAGGAAAAGATTTAATGAAAAGAAGAGATTATAGCTAATTAATCGCTTAAGCGCAAATCTTTTAAGCAATCAATAATGAAAATAATGCTTCACAATGTGTATTATATACAAGCCTTATACTAAGCATATCTCAACTTTCCAACAGTAAAGATGACCCAATGCTTTTGCGATTTTTGTGTATGTAAGATTTGTGTATTCATTCCATGTGTATTTCGACTGAAATCATCATCAATTTAAGTTTTCTTTTCGATTTTATAGTATTTTTGTTTTTGTTTTCTGGGTGCAGCTCATTTGTATGGAATTCTCATTATATGAATCAAGTATTAGCTGCAGTTGAATATTTATTATTATTTATGAACAATCAACGCACACACACGATCTTAAAACCTTTTAAGTGTGTGTGCGTGTGTGTGTGTGTGTGTAACTTTCGCGTTCGTTGCCTAAGTCTCTCGTTTGGTACTGCCAGCTGTGCGAAGAAATTGTAATGTGTGTCACAGTGAAATGCGCGGAAAGTGAAACTAACGTCTAATAAATAAATGAAATTGTTTGCTATTAGTAGCGCATTTAAATGACAACAACACCAGCAGTAGCAAGTGCTGCCACCATGAAAGCTGAAAGGCAAAAAGGTGTAGCTAATGGTTGGACGACAGAATCTATG